TAATTGTTTCCCAGTGTGAATTATCCATGCATGATATAATTTTTATCAATAATACGATGTACTTAACCCATATGCACAGGGACTAAATGGTGACTGGGTTAAATGGAAACATTGGTTTGATTAAGTGACGGGATCATAGATAAATTCTGCCTTTCATTTCTTGCTAATTTTTTGTAATAAGTTAAAATACTATATATATATATAGATCCCATACCTGGAAAAATATTCATGAATTTATCATCTTTATATAGCATATTTTAAGAAACATTTTTGCTATGATGATAGTGAGTAACAAGTATCAAATGATAATAGATTATCATTTTATATCTGCCATCTCATTTCATTGGTGCAAAATTAGCAGCCACAATGGGAACCACCATCTGGGAGGTGTTTTGAACAGTGCCATTTAAATTCCTTCTGGAATTTGACATGCACAAGTTATAAGAAAAGATTTGGAGAGAATGGTCCATTTAAAAGGCAACAAAGTGGGCGCCTGGGTGGCTCAGTTAGTTAGGCGACTGCCTTCGGCTCAGGCCATGATCCTGGAGTCCCTGGATCGAGTCCCGCATCGGGCTCCCTGCTCGGCAGGGAGTCTGCTTCTCCCTCTGACCCTCCCCCCTCTCATGTGCTTTCTCTCTCTCAAATAAATAAATAAAATCTTTAAAAAAAATTAAAAATAAATTAAAAATAAAAGGCAACAAAGTGTCTCAGTTTGGTTACAAATAGCAGTCCTTTAGGAGACGTATGGCTTTCCCAGTGGGGAAGGGTGACACTTAAATCCATCCTCTGAAATGTACTCATAATTTCATGTGGCCTCGGCACTCCACCCCTACCCCCAGCTCCCACTTTCATGTTGCCCTTGATCATCGTCAGTTGTCTCCTTAAAACTGTTACCAAAACCACTGGAACCCCAGTGAAATTATTCATCATACTTTATCATAAACAACCTTGAAGTGACATGTGCCTGCATGTCCCTGCCTCTGCAAGGCATCCCCCCTCAAGGCCTAACTTAGGATGTGTTTGAAGCAATAGATGCCTTTCAAAATCGCTGTTGAAGATCCTGAGGTGTCCTATCAGGCAGAACCTTCTGCGCCCTCCGGCGGGTGCATCCTCAGTAACACTTGTGCAGCCCTCAGTTCGAGTATTACTTAGAGGTAGCTGTTTACATGTCTGCTTCCCTCACCAGATTGCTAGCTCTTTGAGGGCAAGGACTATGCATTCCTATCCTCGTAACCCTGCATCTAGCCCTGGACTGAGAAGTTGGTAGGCTTGAAGTAAATATTTGTTGTATCAAGGAGTTGAGTGGAAAAGCATAGATTTGGAAGCAAGCGTATATGGAATCCAATCCTGTTTATCTACTGTGTGGTTTGGGGTGAGTTTCTTAACCTTTCTGAGCCTTAGTTTTCCTAAATACAGGTTACAGTAGGCAGCTGACAAGGAGTTAGGAGGCTGATAATAGGAAATGTATGAAAAGCATATTGTAGACTCTACATACTCTCTGGTTCTTAGTCCACTGACATAACAGAGCTTTGCTGTTCATCAACAGTGCACCTGAGCCCTGCGCTAGGTGCCGGAGAGCTTAAGAGATGAAGATAGGCAGGTTTCTCCTCTCGGGATGTGAGTAGTCTAACACTGTGATTTGTCTTCTACATTATTTGGCGTTTTTTTGCTCTCAAGCCTAAACTTAGGGTGGATCAATCACTAAATGCACTGATTGGTTTCATGCTCCTCGTTTCTTCTGCATGGGTCTCCTTACCCTAAATATGAGAGCGTGCCTGGTTTTCCATTGCTCCTCTTCCTCATGCTACACTGTCAGCGGTATTGTAACATCTTTGTTCTCTGCCGCATTGCTAACTCTCAAGAATAGTTCACAGTTGTGGAAGTGATGATGTCATATCCCAGCAGAATAAGAATCAGGAAAACCTCCTATCCTAAAATTACAAGGTACATACTTTGTTATTACAATTAGATAGCTATTCTTTATGAGGAAAGGCAGTTAATTGAAGTCAGCCACAAGGAGAGTGAATTCAGATGTTTTCTGGGGCACTTAAAAGTATATCCGATGAGACTCTCTGCTCACTGCTAGAAGTGAGCTGATTAGAAACTTAAAAGACTTGTTAGAACAATGAACTCCCTTCTAAACATTCTTCGAACCCACCTTAAGCAAGGGAGAGAAGGAAAATGGTATCTTAAAGGAACTGCCCAGTGTCAGCTCATGATCGCCTATGTTAATGGGATGATGGAAAAAATCCCAGCATGTGGATAATTTTTAAAAACTCATTTAACTTTGACTTTAAAATACATAGTTAATATTTGGCAATGTTAGGGTGAAAGTAGTTTTTCCCCGCTGTATATTACCTGTTAAATGGTAAGAAGTTGTGTGTGTGTGTGTGGTAAGCCTGCATATATATGAGTGCATGTGTGCATGGGCATGCAGTGTTTATAGATTCACAGTCTCTAAGCCCCAAAGGGAAAACACCATTAGCTAGTCAGCATTGCCTTTCAATTAAATGTTGTGTTGATAAATCATTGATCCTGTGTGCCATTGATTAAAGGTTCTCTTGTCTTGAGTTAGGATAGAAGTTTTGTTTTTTAATTAAATATTTTAAGTTCCTACTACGAGCAAAACGTTATGCTGGTGGTGAGGCAGAGATACAGCTAGTCCCTTGACTTTTTGATGTTTGAAGGTTTTCAGGAATCCTCGGAGTCTGGGCAATTTTATTTCCATTAAAAGTAACATGAATCCTTTCAACTTTCACTAGCATGTTGAACCTCCCGCCCATGCTTAGTTCTAGGCCAGATTTTCTTCTCACCCTCTCCCAAGATTTCAGTTACTAACTAAAAATTCTATCTCCCAAATGTGTACCTCCAGCCCATTCATCTGCTTTGAGTATCAGACTCAGTCCCACATTAAATCTCTGCTTGGATGTAGATGGTACCCAAAATTTGGTGTATTTAACTAAACCTGGCAGTGCCATCTGAGTGAAGTTACCACCATCCGTCCAGTTCCATGATACTTCCATCTCCTTCATTCTCTATGTCTAGTCCACCACTAAGTCATGCTGATTTTCTTGGTTAAAAATCCTTTAAATCCACACACTTCCTCCCCTTGTCCATAGCCACCACTCTAGTCTGGATCACCATGATCTCTTGTGTGGATGACTGGAGTAAGCCACCTCTCACTGGTACCCCTTCTTCCCCTCTGGCTCATCTCCAGTTCTCTTTTTCAAAATGCAAATCTGATCAGGTCACCCCCTTTACATAAGACCATTTAGCAAGCTTCATTGCTCATAGGCAAAAATCCAGAATCTTCAGCGTGGCCTCCAAGACCTGCATGCCTCCCTTGACTGTATATATTCCTGCCGAAGAGCCTGGAATAATCTTCACCTGATTTCATACGGTTAACTTCTGGCTGCTTTCTACACCTTACCCCAAGATAAACTTCCACAGGAATGCATCCCTTAGCCCCGTAAACTGCCGTAGTACAGTGTACCTCTCCTTCATAGCACTTACCACAATGTGCAGCTGTGCATTTAGTTGTATGATTACTGATCATTGTCTATCCCCACAGGACTGTAGGTCCACAAGAGTAAGGACCATGTCTGTTTGCTCATTAGTGTATTCCTAGCAGGAGAGCTGGCAGGAGCTTTGTTCTGAAGGATTTCCCAAGCCAAGTTAAGCTATTTGGAACTCATCTTAAAGACAATGGAAAGCTTCTGATGGATTTTAAGCAGGGGAGCAATGTGATTAGATGTACACTTTGGATGAAGTGTAGAGAAATCCAGACAAATACTGCTGAAAGAGAAATGAGGCAGTCACAGTAATGGTGGGTCCTTGCCATTCTTTCTCTATTTTCCTATCCCTCCTTTCTAAATCCAGTGAGGCACATTACCCATAGAACTTCTCAGATGCTTGATCATCATCTAGTCATGTGAATATTGGTTGAGTTCCTCAGTATATGCTTGACACTAAGAATAATAAAATGGTTCTGGCCCAGATGTGTATCCCTAACCCACATCTCCCATTCTGATGGGAAAGACTGTCCAATAAGTAGAGAGTATAATCCAGTGTGGAAAATGCTGCAATGGGAGTTTGAATGGAGTTCTCAAATGCAGAGGAGTTTATAACTAAAACAGTTCCCTGGGGCCAGAAAATGCCTCACAGAGGAGATGGCATGAGAACTAGAATGAAGTAGGTAGGAATGGTGGATTGTGTCAAGTAGAGACAAACGAGGGGGCATTGTAAGTGGCTGGAAGAGCACGTGCAAAGGCCCAGAACTGTGAAAGGGCACAGCATTTGGGAGAATGGCTTTAGCTCTGCAATTTCACAGCTGTAGAGAGAATGTGTGGGGATGGGGATGGGCAAGGTGGTAGGAGATGGCAAAAGACAGGTACATGGGGGCCATATTGTACAGGGCCTTCTTAATTCAGGAGTATGAGTATCATCCTGTGAGTTGCCAGAAATCATGGAACCACTCCTAAAATCTCTGGATTAAAAGCCAATTCATGGGCACCTGGGTGGCTCAGTTGGTTAAGCGACTGCCTTCAGCTCAGGTCATGATCCCAGGGTCCTGGGATTGAGTCCCGCATCGGGCTCCCTGCTCTGCGGGGAGCCTGCTTCTCCCTCTCCCACTCCCCCTGCTTGTGTTCCCTCTCTCGCTGTGTCTCTCTCTGTCAAATAAATAAATAAAATCTTTAAAAAAATAAAAAATAAATAAATAAATAAAAACCAATTCATGAGGAAGCACTTCATATGAAGGGTCTAATGGTTTATTAGTAAAACAGTGCCTGAGCCAGTAAGAGTAATTATGTCCTGAACCCAAGAAACATAAGAATGATTATGTTCCTGAGAGGTAAACTGGGATCTGGGCCTTTGAAGGAAGAGAGGGACATGGTTCTAGCAAGCTTACCAGGGCCTGCCCCTAGGAGACTGAGTAGTGAGCCAGGCCACACACTCTTGCCTGCTCTGCCATGCCAAGTGTCTGGGTTTGTGTTTTGCAGTTCCATGGAGAATGGGAGGCCGCCGGATCCTGCAGACTGGGCCGTGATGGATGTCGTCAACTATTTTCGAACAGCAGGATTTGAGGAGCAAGCTAGTGCTTTTCAGGAGCAGGTAAGTCTGTCTAGAGAAACCCATGATGAACAGTTACCTCTTCCTCACAGTGGGCAGAGGGAGTGAGGAGGAAGAGGACCTGAGAGCAGGGAGGGATCTGTGAGGCTCTGCATGTCCTCCACATCAAACACCGATCATACCAGAGCACTGAAGAGGGTGGGAAAGGAGAGAAGAAAAGTGATGAGCTAATGACTCCTTCCTGAGAGAGGGGAACCCATGCCCTGAGACACAGTGACAGCTGCAGGAAGGAGGGCTAACGCTCAGTTACATCTGCGTCTTCTGAAAGATGGGACAGCCCTACTCTCACCACAGACACACTGGAAAGCAGAAACCAAGAAGAAAGGGAAGTGAGGGGCAGAACTGACTAGAGACATGCAGCACCATCCACTACTGGCCCAGCACCAACCGAGCTAGGAAGCCCCCTCCAATTTGCATTCCAGGTGCTTAGAAAGGTAGAGTGGAAAGAATACAGATTTAGAGTCAAATCCTGGTTCTTCTAACTCTGTGTGACCCTGGGCAAGTTACTGTCTCTCTCTGAGTCTTGCTTTCACATCCACAACATGAGGCTATCAATGCCCAACTCAATAGGGTGGTGGTGTGAGGATTAAGGAACTTTGTCTGTACAGTGCCTAGGGTAGGTCTTGGCACAGTGTTGATGCCCCTCAAAGTGTTAATTCCCTTCCCTCAGGTCCAGGGTTGGTATTGAAAGGAGGGAGTAGGGGGTCCCTCTCCATTGTTGGGGTGATTCCTGACTTCCATTTTTTAGGCTGGGCCAGCTCTGTAAGGATGGTGCCCAAGGGGCTTTAACCCCATGAGGAAGCACATTGAGGAGGCATGTTGTGGTCCACACCAGACCAGCTCTGTAGGGAAACAGAGATCCTATCTCCCTATCAGTGAAGTCTGCAGTTTTCTAAGCATTACATTTACTTTTCCAGTATTGTAATATAATTGATAGAATTATAAATTGAAGAATGTGTCTGGCTGCTTCTTCCATATCCATTTAGCTCTTATGCTCTTAAGCTGGGTTTGGCTAGGGAAACTTTATATATATATATATATATAAATCTCCTTCAATATTTTCTTCAAACCTGATATCTCTCTCTCTCCTCCCCCCCATATATATATACACACATATATAGTTGTTGCTGTGGTTAATTTGGAAAATTTGCTGAAATAGCAGCTTAAATCACTTCACACCCACCAGAATAGCTAAAATTAGAAAGATTGATAAATTTAAATGTTCATGAAGATGTAGAACAAACACATTCTCCTGTATTGTTAGTGGGTATGTAAAATACTCATACATCTACCCCATGATCCAGCAGTTTCATTCCTGAGTATTTACCCAACGGAAATGGAAACATATGTCCGTAAAAGATCTGTTCAAAATTATTCTTAGTGGCTTTATTCATAATAGTCTAAAACTGGAAGCCTAAGTGTCCACCACTGGGAGAATGTGGTATAGTCACACAGTGGAATATACCCAGTAGTACAAAGGAACAAACTAGTAATGTGTAACGAAGTTTGGATGAATCTCAAAGTATCATATTGAGTAAGAGAACCCTTACACAGGAGTTCTTATTGAACAGTTCCTATCTTGGTCTGTTCAGGCTGCTATAACAAAAATACTATAAACTGGGTGGCTTATGAGCAACAAACATTTTTCTCACAGTTTCAGAGGCTGGGGATTCCAAGACTAACAAGGCTGCAGACTGGGTGTTTGGTGAGGGCCTGCCTCCTAGACAGCTGTATTTTTGCTGTGTCCTCACATGGAGGAAGGGATGAGAGAGCTGGGGCTCCTTTTGTAAGGGCACTAATCCGTATAATCACCTCCTAAGGGCCCTACCTCCTAACACCATTACCAATTACCTCTAATACCCCCTGGAGATTACGTTTCAACATACGAATTTTGGGGAGACACAAACATTCAGACCATAGCAATTTCATCTAGATGAAGGTTGAGAACAGGAAAATGCATCATTGGTAGCAAGAAGTAAAACAGTGGTTGCCTCTGGATAGGTGGGAGTGGAGAATGGCTGGAAAGTGGCATGAAGGAACATTGTGTGTCTTGATGAGGGTTTGGGCTACATGTATCTGCTTCCAGTAGATGCACTGAGATGCACAGGCATATACAGATGTTACAGGTCTGTGTGCTACATAGCCTCTACATTTTACCTCAAAAGAAAAGGAATTATAAAAAAACATTAAGCAATTAGTAGTATGCAAACTGAAGTGTTTAGGGGAATACACTGATTTATATAACTTACTTTGAAATGCATCAAAATATGGATTGACAATTGGATAGAGGAAGGAGTAGAGGGATAAACATGTGATAAAGCAGTATAGAAAATGTTAATTGTAGAGTCTAGGGTGGTGGTCATGTGGGTGTTCACTATATGTTCTTAAAACTTCATGTTTGAAAATTTTTATAATAAAATCGGGGGGGAAAATCGCTCAGGTTGAAAGGTGAAGGCCTACCAGCTGGAACATATTTTATTTTAGTTTTTAATAGAGTAATATCCATTTGTGTCATTACAGTTGAATAACTCTCTTCTAAAATTAAATTTAAATAATATTGTAAAAGGTTAACCAAAGAAAGGACTCCGCTAAAAGGTCTCTTGGCCCAATTCCCAGCTGCCCAAAAGCGTTTTTCAGATTGGACTTTTACTCAGACTCCTCTGAGGCCGATGTCCCAGACTCGGGGGGAGGTGTTGTCCTTTGGGCCTTCCAGATTCTGTGCAGGACCTGAGAATGGAGCTGGCCAGCTCTGAGCTTGGCCCAGGAGCAGGCCCTTTCTCCCAGGAATGACATCACTCTGGCAAGGCATTAGTGGGAAGCAAAAGGAACAGACTCTCCCAAAGCAATTCATTCAGAAGTCCTTCAAGCAGGCAAAGGGCATCATCTTGCTACTGTGCTGAGCCCAACTCAGGAGCCTGAGAAATGAATTCCCAGGGCACTGGAGTTTTGCAAGCATGGTCTAGAAGCTGAAGCTCCTTCATTCTCATGGAAGGGCAGTTAGGTGGAAGAAAGAGTTTGCCTTAAATTATTCCCTGGAAGTGATCCAAATCTTCTTCCTGCCATGTAATTCTCATCATCTTTCCTCTTCTCTTTAAAGGAGGTAGAGGGAGGACAAGGAGAGAACCACTAGTCAGGCTTAGCCTGGTAAGATAAGTAGCTGCTGTGATTTCCATGAGGACTGAGAATCAGGATCCTTTACCAGGTTACCCTGCCTCTTCTGTCATCATGCCTCAGAAAGCTTTATGTTTCACCTTCAAGGATCTTCCTGTCAGTGAACCTCAAGTTCACCCTAGATGGGAAGACCGCCACCCCCAGCCCAAACTGACCCTTTGGAACATGACCCTTCCAGGCACATCTTCTAGGTCACGACAGCGGAGAAACAATAAGGACTACGTGTTGAAATCTCCTTGGGGAAAGCTTTGCCCTGCCATTGGACAGAAACAGCACAGAGCTGGAAACTACCCTCACACTACCTTGCAAAAGGGCAGGTCCAGAAAGGACAGTACCATTGCCAATGATGTGGGGAGCTTAGTGTCATGGCCGACAGTGGTGGACTGAATGTTTGTGCCCCTCCAAATTCCCAAATTCATATGCTGAAACCCTAACTCCCAATATGATGACATTATGTGGTGGGCCTTGGGAGATAATCAGATTTAGATGAGGTCATGAATGTGGAGCCCTCGTGATGGGAGTAGTACCCTGAAGAGAAGAGACCAGAGAGCTTGTTCTGTCTTTCTCTGTCGTGTGAGGATGCAGCGAGAGGATAGCCACCTGCCAGCCAGGAAGAGGGCTTCACCAAGAACCTGACCATGCTCGCACTGTGAGCTTGGACTTCCAGCCTCCAGAACTGTGATCAGAACTTAGAGCTGACTAAAACAGTGGCGTTGATGCTGGACATGTCTACCCTCAGCTGGGCTGACTTTGAGGAGAATATCCGCCTTCATGGTATGGTCTCACAGTACGATCCTGGATATTCTGTTGCTGTAGCAACCAGACACAGAGGTGGCTTTCTAGTATACCTCCCTGGAAGATATCCGGCCACTGAGTGAGGTTTGTCCAAAGGGCCAGAACGGCATCCCATGTTTCTTTGGTATGAAGCATCTGGTGAAGCTGGTGATCTTTGCATGACCTCCTTTTCTCTGAGCAGGCACACTGCCACATGACAATGATTTCTATTAAATTTCCTTCTGGTGTAATGATCTCTATCAAGTTTTCTTCTGGAAAACCTCTTTTGAGCCTACTGTGCGAGCCACAACTATAAGCCAAAAGAATTGTCGAAAGGGAGGTTCTAACTAAGCCCCTGCCCGGACCCTTGCGCCAGCCCCCGTGACCCAGTGTCAGTAGTATGTGTGTTTCAAGTTGTTTTACTGTTCTGGCCAGTTGCCTTTAAGACCAATGATATCCCTCTTCCTTGGCTCACTGACCTCATTAACATAGTGCTCCAGAGGGTTCGCTGGCCAGTAGGAGCAGGAGCCAGTGGGAGTCCTTCCTAGAGGAGGCAGTAATGACGACTCTGTCAGTACTCTTTCCCATGGACACCGTGGGGTGATGGCTGTTTTCCCAAGTGTCTTCTGGCAGGCAGATCTCTCATGCTGTGGTGAGTCCTAGTTTCTTTTCTCCTGATTGACACTGGTCACTGCAGGATCCTGAAGAGTTTGCCTTTCTAGAACTCAGATTTCTATAACATGAATGTTGATTTAAACAGACAGAATATTGCTCAGGCTGTTGCTTTAATAGTCAAGTGTTAGCTTAGACCTGGCCTTCATGAAGTATGCTTTCAATGCACAGCACAGAGCACAAAACTACCTGAGATGTTGTATATACACAGTTGAATTTTGGTGACTAGATGATAAAAAATTGACACTTACCCATACATATGGGTTGCCTGGTGTTCAAGAGTCAAAGGTACTTCAGGAATTTTACTTTCCTAAGAGCATTAGTTTTTAAGAGAACCTTTTGACTAACTTCATTCCAAAGCATCT